AGGGTGGGTATTTGTGTCAAAGCTGAGGATGAGGGTGGGGCTTCCTCATGAGAGAGTGAATGAACAAGTGTAGAAGTCTATACTCCTTCCCCAGCGTACACATTTCTTAACCAAGCACATTATGTATTTTCCTTCTCCCTTCTCAGTGAGTCTGTCTAACTCTCAGTTAATATTCTCCCTCTCTGAAAAGTCCCTCATCGCTGGGAGGAGACGAGATAATTAGCTTCAATGTTCTTCCATTTTTAAGCTGGGAATTCAGCATGAATTCCAGACACAGTTCATGTATTGTGGATCATCAGCACCGCTATTCATGATAGGTAACTCACTCTCTCTCTCTCTCTCTCTCTCTCTCTCTCTCTCTCTCTCTTTTTCCCTCTCCATTGGAATCTCTTTCGGTTAGCATACCAGGGATGAAGATTAATGACTTCCATTACTTTTTTTCCTATCATGCAGGAATCTTTAACTAGCCTGAACTTTGTGCCAACTATCATATGTATCATATCGACTGCAATTACCCCTCTATGTCACGTCCTAGGTATGGGTCCTTGTGTGAAGCACTAAATGAAGGGCAGGGTGAAAAGTGYCAAGTTGTAACCAGGCAGAAAACTGACAATTAACAAACAGCGACCTATCCACCTTATTGTGTTATTCTCTTGGAGGCCTCAAGAAACATGTGATGAGAACAGATATGTTTCACCACATCTACCTGTTTAAATAATTTACCTTTGTCTTGAATATTGTGTACATTTATTGTAACAAAATTAATAAACAAAATGATAATTTTATTGAACACTCACCATGTAATGGGCTCAGTTGTAGGCATGCATTTGCTCATAATCTTCACGCCAGTCCTAGGAGATAGCATGGCACCCTTTTACATTTGAGGGGACTGAGGCAAAGTGCTATTAAGTAGTTTGCCCAAGATCCTGCAGGAAAGGTTAGAGCTGGGATTTGAACCCAGGCAGTCTGGTTTCAAATTTTATGCCCTCAACCTCTATGTTCTACTGCCTTACATCTTTGCTTTTAGCAGCGAAGATATAATTTTAGCATGACATTAGTAATGTACCTCCCAAAGTTTTCTCTTACTAATTACATAATTACCAATTTTTGTGTATACCATGTCATAATACTTTAGAGGAACTTAGACACAGAACAAGACCACAGAAAACTGATCCTGTGTTAAGGTCTCACTACTTACAAGAAGAGTTTTGACTATGTGAGTTTAAAAATTGATAGTTTGTGTTACACTTAAGTGTAATCTATTTTAGAGTCTTGTCACATGCATTATTAGTATGGTTCTGTATGTTCATGTTCTTGGGAGAGACTGAATTAATAATACACAGGGCTGTGTTGTGGCTTAGTGGTAGAGTGCTTGCCTAGCATGCATAGGCCCCTAAGTTTGATCCCCAGTACCACAAAACAAACAAACAAATGAACGAATGAATAAACAAACCAACCACTAAGAATTCCCCCTATGTGCAAAGGCACAGTCATTTTCAGGTCTGTGTGCCCAGATAAAGTGATTTGTTTTCTGAACAAAGAATATAAGCTTAGTACCTAAAGTGACCTCAGACTCACATCTCTACTACCCATGCTTTTTAATTTAAATTAAAATATTTTTGTTAAGATGAGGCAAGTCTTCTCATTGACATTTTCCAAGCAAGTATTTTTCTTTCAGTTAACATCCTGAGATGCTGGCTCCCAGCGGTAGAGTTAGAACTGTCAGCTGCTCCCTACCAGGGAACATCCCGCAGACTGGGGTTTCTTTAGCAGGTCTTAGCATAGTGAAAATACTGGGGCTATTTATCCATGTGACCTGGGATGGAGTTAATGCCCTGCTAGTCTTAATTGGTTTGATGTGCTGACAAGGTGGGTCTGAATGTTTCCTATAATTTTCTCATGAGTGACTTTGGCTCCATAAACTAAGGGCTAGGCAAATTAGCTTATGGGCCCAGAAATCATTCTTGGCCCAAGTCTGCAGAAACTTCTCAGTCAACCATAGCTGCTCTGATACTTGAGATTTGCTGACAATTCTTCGTTCAGAAAAAGGTTTGCATTCCTGAGTTACTTTTCTGTTGGGGAGCATCTTAATCATTGTCTCTGGGGTTAAGATCAAGGAAATAGGACCAAGAACTGAACTCAGCTGTTTGGGTGACTCTTAGATCCATGAGCTTCTTAGCCAGTATCTGATGCAATAGCTAACAAATATTAACTGACGGTGATGACAGGAAAGAGTTTCTCTGGCCAGAACCTGCTAATATAAGTCCTAATGAATTGAAAAGGATGCCTGCTATAGCAGATTCTGACATGTTGCATTAGCAATTTTAGGCAAAAGAAGATTATAGTACCTAAGATCATATCTATATCTATCTATATAAATATCTCTATCATATCTATCTATCTATCTATCTATCTATCTATCTATCTATCTATCTATATGTATGTATGTATGTATGTATATAGATAGATATATATACAGATACACACACACACACACACACATTAGTTCTTGCTTTGGTCATGGAATTGTGTTTCAATAGGGTATAGAAAATAAATCTCCAGGAAAATGCCCAGTTACAGGCACATGTCTCAGGTTTTTGTGATCATTATGATTCTAAGAGGGAAGGCAGTGCTGTTCTTTTAGAAAATTCTTATGAATGTGGTTTGGGGTGAACATTAGTAACAATGAACAGTTTAATGTTGAGTTAAACAAAACTTTTGGTGTTTTTAAGGGCCAAGGATCAAGCCAGGGGTCAGTCGAAAACTCAGTTACATGTTGACACAGAGAATGTTCAAAAGTTGTGGAAACTCAATTCCAAACTTGCTCTATGATTGTTGGCCATTGTCTTAGGCAGCAAGATAATTTTCTTTAAAGTTGTAGGTGGTGAGTTTTTTCTATGGGAAATTTTTGGGTAATGACTTATATAACACAGTTTAGAATATTCTTGGCTTAGCTGGTTGAAAATAGAGATTTGAATATGAGAGTGCAGGGGATTTTAATGGAATTTTATTAAGGGAGTGAAAAGCAGGGAGTTTGATTCAATGCCAGTATTCAATGCCAGTATTATCTTAAGGACTTGTTTTTCATTTTAGACGAAATAATCTATTTTATCTTTGAGTAAAAGGGACAACAGTGCTAATAGCCTGACTTTCTCAGAAGTTTCTCTTTTCATGTGGTCACCATAGTCAGCAGCACTGTCAAATAAATACAGGTTAAATTAAATAAAAAACTGTTTAAACAGAGCAGAAATAGTCTTCCCTGGCTAAATTGGACAATTAAAAGAATAAACCCTGGGAGGAAACTTCCAATGGATTATAATTTTTCTATTCTCTATTTATTGTTGTTTTTTCTTCCTGGAGTCAAATCTCCAGTTGAATTTAGTCAATTATCTACAGCAAACAAAAAGTGCATAAATGTCTCTTCYGTTACTGCTGTTTATATTTTACCACTAAACAGAGMAAGATTTTCTTTTTAGCTTTTACCTTTGGGAASTTATAAATCCAACAACACAAATTGAATATTGTGTAACTTCTGTTGTCACTTTGAAAGCATAATGATGGGATTTAGTTATTTAAAAGTTTACTGAAAATTTTTTTTTTTTGTTGTTGTTGCTAGTATTATACTTGCTACAAAATTTGTTAAAGAAACAATTTGCTAAGGACTTGGAAGGAACTGTCAGCAGGTAAAGAAYGTTAAGTATCCAAATTGTGTGGGGTTGAGGTTATGTGTATGTCAATCCTGTTCTGGGGTTATTGTTTATGCTTTCCTATATCAGTCACTTCTATAGTAATTTTGATTTTAAAATGTTTCCCACTGCTCCTTTAATAACTACTAATTTAGAAGTATAACAAATAACTGGCATAACTAACAGTTAAAACGTAATGGGAAATAAGGGCTGGGGTGTGGCTTAGTGGTAGAGTGCTTGCCTAGCATGTGCAGAGCACTGGGTTCTATCCTCAGCACCACATAAATAAATCAATAAAATAAAGGTATTTTGTCCATCTGCAACTAAAAAATATTGAAAAAAATGTAATGGAAAATAAGCAAGGTATTGTAAAGAAAATACGTCAAACAAAACAAAAAACAAAAAACAAAAAAAAAAAAAAGGAAAAAGTAAAACAAGAGCTAGTAAGTACAACCTGGACCATGGGGGCACTGTCACTCTCTCTTGTGATTCTGAAGGTATTCTACCCCAACCTTCCCACTGTGGAACATTCTTCTGTGCTCAGTGCCAAGAGTCAGAGGAGGAAGGCAGTAACTTCCCAGTATTCTCTCTAGGTGTAGTTATTTCCTCCCAGATGGGGAAAGCAGGCARTTGTGCTCCTGAACCCCTTTCTCCCTCCTCCCTGCCAGCCCCATTTACCCTTGTTTCTGTGAATGAATGAAAAGGCTGCCCATCTGGAAAGGTAGCTCTAAAACACTTCTGGACAGTTCTCTATTGGCCTCTACAACTGATCATTTTAGTTTCAAGATTATTTCAGGAACATTAAGCCTCTCTCTACTCATACTTAATAAGAATTCATTCWACAAAAGCTTAGGATAGAGAAAAGTGAAATAAAAACAAAGCCTAGTGAGTTGCCTAAGCTCCTTAATGTGGATCCCTTTCACTGAGCATTACTCCTACTAAAAATAAAAAGGGAGATGAAAGTTACCTCGGTGTTTTGCTGCTGTGGTGGTTGCCCTCTGGTTTCTGGGGAGCCTCAGGTCCTTTAATGTCGGCAGCRCTGAACTGCCAAGCCAGAGGATCTTGCTCCAGGTTCCTTGGTGGTTTTGCCAGATCACCTGTCCTTTCCTTAGACAAAGTGATTTTTCTCTGGTCTTTCCAGGCAAAGTGATTCTAGATAAGCAGATCATTGTGTGGAATATCTCATCTACGTTGCTCCAGTGCAGCCCTTTCAGCTTTCCAGAGCCAGTTAGACTTGTTATGAGGAGTGAACTGATTGGCTGGATCTGGGCTCAGTTTCATAGATTATAGCCCGGCAGTCGGGAAGCACAAGCCCTATAGTTGCTGTAGCCCAGAGGCCTGCCAGTTCCTGCTTTAATGCATATGTAGTTGTAATTGAGTTCTAGCACGGCCTTGGATGTTTCTGTCCTAAATAGCTGACATTGCATCTTCAAGACTGTGTGAGTAATCCTGACTTTTTTTTTTTTTTTTTTTTAAGCGCAGTAAATTAATTACATGCCCCGGGAGGGAGTGATTGTAAGAATACTGAACTAGCAGATGATTCGTTTTTAAGGTGCTGTAGTATATGTGTCAAGTTCAACGCAATGAATCTTAACGCTTCCAGGACATGGCAGGGTTATTATAGCTTTTGGCCATGAATCATAGTCAGGCTGCATTTTGAAGGAGACTGGCTGATGCATTTGTTAGCCCAGTTTGTTTGCATGGGGTCTGTACCGTGGTAAAGCTCCAACACGAGCAGGTTAAACAGGATGCCGGTGTGTGAGCACCGAGGGCGCTGGARTCAGGCAAGTTTCAAGGGTTTCCACCCCCATGGTCCAAAACTGAGAGACGATAATAAATCCTTTTCGGGACACAGGTACATAGCAGTTAGACACAGAAGGAGAAATGTGAAATGACAGCAGCAGTAGTTTTCTTCTCAGAAATCTGAGGCTAATTAAAGACATATACCATGAATAACTAGAAATTTTTATATGTACAAAAATGTTCTTTGCTGGTTCAGTTTATGTGGTAGAGCTGAATGGGAAACCACGAGCTTGTTTTTCAAAGCCTCCTGAGAAGTATATTAAACACACAAGGATACAGCCGAAACAGAAGCAAGTATGTGTGCTAGGATTTGTGGTGGAGCAGATCAAATGGTTCCAGGCAGTCCTTGTTAGGTTTGTGTAATTGTTGGGGGGAAGCTCTCTTGATAACAGTTTTTGGATAAAGCTGGAGCAGCTTGAAATGAGAAACTACAAAGCATCAGTGTTTTATTATCATTGATAGTTTATACTGTCAGACTGAGTAAAAACTGGTAAATGTAAGCAGTTCATATTTTACCTTTACATTATTACTGATTTTCTCCTAGCCTATAATAAAATAGGGCTTTTGCCTATGAAGTTAGTGATTAGAAATAAGTTTTCATCCTTATGAATAATTTTCATACTTTTCTTAATACAGCACCAAACTAGGCCATTTACAAAATATTTTTGAGTTGTTTTCCAGGTTGTTTTTTAATTTAATTTTCCTTGTTAGACTTACATATTCAAATATATGTTATATATTTGTGTTATATACAGATTTCAAGCATAAATTAATTACATGCCCGGGGAAGGAGTGATTAATTGTTAAGAAGAAAATACTGTTGTGTAAAATATAAACTTCTAATATTTATAGTAATTCCTTGCCAATTACTTTTAAAAGAACATTGATAGACTCATTTATAGACTTATTTTTGGTTGTACCTATTTAAACAACTGACACAATTTAGCTGGCAGGAGAGAAATATTAGTTGTGTTTTCGCAAAATTTTGTTTTTAGATCACACTGGGAATGAGAATTTTATTGTTAAGAGAATTTTCATTTTTTGAAATGTTTCCCTTTTTAGGTCACACCAGGGGACCAAGTTCATAAAAAGAAAGAAGTAATTGACATAGAGTCCTTTTCTGTATCAACCAAGTATATGTAAAATAGATAGTCTTAAAGAAATGTAAGTCTGATATATCCATTTAGAAAGGTATTTACTTAATGAAGAAATGGCATACTGTGTTCCTCTATTGAGACAGAATACCAAGTTCATTATTGAGTTTCTATGCCCATAGGTGCTAACAGGAATGGCTGACACATTCTTAGTTATCCAGTTATCTATTCCCAACTGACTGTATTAGTGGAAGAAAGTACCCCATTTATAAAAGGAATGTGATCTCATCTGTCCTGGTGGGTGGAGCCGTCTAAGCTTAAGAAGTGGTGGGGTAGAAGGTATCTTAATGGAACAGGCTTCCTGGCTTCCCTTTCTTTTCCTAGGGTAGGTGCAGCTCTCTTAAGGTAGTTCTTACACTCCCTCTTGCCTTTTTCTGCCTTCATTCTTTAAGTTACCTTGCTTGGGCTATTGCTGATATGCATCAAATACTTATGCTTAATTTTCAAACATGAACCAGCTGCCTGTACAATTCAGAGGGTGTTTGAAACCTAGGGTGAAAGATCCGGGAGAGACTGGTGGGTCCACACTAGGGGCCTTTGCTTCTTGCATTGGTGCTTCCTCTAGGTCCTTCAGCTCTTCAGTTTTCCTGGAGGTGATGGAGTCACATTTTTTTCTTGCGAAGAGGAGCCCAGAAACCCTGGGTGTCCAGTGAGAGTAGGCTGTGGGCAAGATGCTGTGGATAAAGAAAAATATCTCTAAAACAGCAATAATTAATCTTTCTTTTCTCTATTTCTGTTTTGAAAATTATTTTTCTCTGACTTTGGAAGTTCTTTTTCAGATAAACTTCTGAAAAATTATGCATATCTCTAAAGACAGATGGATCTGACAAAAGATATATCCAAGAAGGAATGTATTACGTCACAAGGAGTTTGCTAAATGTTCCTGAATACACATTGGCATTTGGAAACTATTAGCACTACCTACTAATGCAATGACATGAATCCAAGTTGAAAAAAAAATATTGCTTCTTGATTGGATTATATTTTCCATTTTAAAAAAGACTGTTTTTAGAAAAGTTTGCACTTCCCTAAGATATTTTTTCCTGTGTTATATATAGGATGGATCTGATTGCTTAATCTTGCTGAGAATTGAATTATTTCTAGTTGGCCTTTTCAAAAGAGTTGCTTTCCCACCTTGAACATGTTTTAAAGAGAGCGGAGCAGAACAAATGAAATAAACATCYACCCTTCCCCAAGAAATAAAACATATCATGAAGGAGTTAAATGTTTTCGACTGGAGTCATTCCCTCCTTTTGTGGTGAAAGACATTATTCACTGGTGGAAGAGGAGCTTCAAGACAATCAGTTATTCCATCKTAATTATTTAAGGTCAATCAGTGATATTATTTCCCATTATATTGATCACCAGCCCAAACTGTGTTCCCTTGATTTCTGATTTCAAGAAGCAGATCATCTTAGTGAACTAGTCTGGTTGTCAGTAGGATGGATCATGCTTAGGTTATGAAATATTTCTAAGCCTTTCTCTATGTAAAATGAAAATAATGGCAAGTGTTCTGGTAGTTGATGGGATTGGTGAATATTAGAACAACAAAAAGGAAGAGCTCAGGAGAGGATAGTGGAATCTATAATTTGTATTGTGCTCTACCACCATAAACAATATTATGATAGCTACTCATTGCACTAGGGCTGGTGTCTTTTTTTTTCTAATAGCATATTCCCAGTAATGAGGAGTAGTTTTTTTTTTTTTTTTTTTTTTTTTTTGGTACTGGGGACTAAACCCAGGAACACTTAACCATTCATCCACAAACCCAGCCCTTTTTTGTATTTTATTTAGATTTAGGGTCTCACTAAGTTGCTTAAGGCCTTGCTAAATTGCTGAGGCTGGCTTTGAACTTGTGATCCTCCTGACTCAGCCTCCCAAGCTGCTGGGATTATGGGCAGGTGCCACTGCACCTGGCATGAGGCATACTTTTAAAGCAAAGCAAGTCTTCATTGTTTGATCTTGAAATGTTATGAAGGCCTTTAGAGTCTCAGTCCTTATCTGTCCATTGCTTGAGTATTAAAAATACCAGTAGCTTTACTGTGGTAAGTAAATGTGGTATTGTTTGTGCAAACACATTTAGTTAATTTCCCAGTGCCTTAGGAGTGTCACTTGTTGCAACTATTATTCTAATAAAAATATAATTTGTCAGTTTAAAAATGGTAAATATCAGATACAATTTTTTACTGATTTGATTAAATTTCCAAGCTGTCTGCTTCCCTCAAACGGGTGAGTTTTTTGGCTAGGCTTGTGCCATAATTTTCCTTCCATGTAGATAAAACTCTAAGCCAACGGTTAGATAAGCATTCCTTTGCAGCCTGTGCTTAGCTGTTATTGTCAAGTTTTATGGGACAATGTTTCCTCATAGGAGAAAATGAGTTGGAAAACAGAATGACAGATATTTTTTTAAATTCCTATATTGACTCTATTAAATTTCATTAATARAATAATCATGTAGGTTTTAAGTTAATTCTTATTCCTGGGTCTTTTCATCCTAGGAATAAAATGGAATGGTCAAAAATGACTTTCTGAATAATTTAGAAAGTCAGTCAGCAGTTTTTGAGTTCCTAAATTCTAGCTGGTTCTTCTTTGGAAAATCATTCAAATTTTGTAGCTGGCCACAGCTGTGTCCTATATTTTAGCTCACTGTTGTCATGAGTTTGATGACCTCCTGTCAGGGGTATTGGTTCAGCTGAAGCAGTTACCCATGTCACCTGTAGAACCACTTTTTAAAAACATGAAATAATAGAGGAAGTATGCAACCATTGTCCTGGCTTYCTCATACCTTTGGAAAATCTAAAAGAGCACCTCATCGGTAATTAAAAATTATAGGAAGTGAGTGCTTTTTAAACTTCCTAATAGCACTTTATTCATTCAGCGAAAATCAGGAGTTAGGAGCTAGACACACAAAGATGAATGAACAGGACAAGATTTTCTCAAGGAGCTTACAGCCTAGCAGGTATTTATTTCATGTTTTCAGAATTTTCTCAAGGTAATTCTGGAAGAGAAAGGATTAACTTTGGGATTACTGTTCTTCCCCTTAAAATATTTAATGTACTTTAACAAGTATATTATTATATATTAGAGTATATGATATTGTTATATCTATTATGATAATAATGATACTGAAGGAATGAGTGGCCTGTAGTACATACATGAAAATATGGGGTAGAAATATATACATTCTCTTATAAAATTGTAGAGTCTCTCACCTTATTTAGTCCAGTCACCATATTTTGTAGACAAATAGTGGCTTCAAGATATTACTGGTTTGTTATTTTGTTTTTGTAGAATTAAGAAAGGCATCTGGAGTACAGTAGCCTCTTGTTTATCTGTAGTTTCAATTTCTATGGTTTTGGCTTCTGGAAGATTCCAGAAATAAACACTTCATAAGTTTTAAAGTGCACATACTCTGAACAATGTGATAAAATCTCTTGCTGTCTTGCTTCAACCTGCCCCAGATGTGAACCATCTGTTTGTCC